TTTTTTTTTGTCTTTCGTGGGAGTCACCCACCTTTATTGTCACTCTTTTTTTCAATTGTTTTCATTCATTTTTCCCATTGATTTTTCGTATGTCCCTTTTGGTTACATTTGAAACAGACCATTTCTGACCTACAGTTGTAAGAAAGATGTCCCAATTCAAGGCACTTGCTACATTTAATTTCTTGCCCTTCATGAAACACACGAGCTCTGAATCCATTAATTTTAATTTGTCTTGGTATAGATGTAGCTATTTTTTTCCACAAAAACTGATCTATCTCCATTTAGCCAACTAGTTAATTGTCCTTTTACTCTAATTTTTAACCGCATGATTTCACCCACTGGCTTACATCCCAGTGCTTTTAGGTGATTTATGATTTCAGAATCCGCCACCGATAACGGGATGTCTTTAATTAGAACTCTTGTAGTTTCAGCGGAATTGTGCGCAATATATGGGTTTTTGTCATATACTGATACATTAGTGTTTCTTATGTTTACTCCTTTTGTGATTATTCGTACTCTATCACTTCGGTTATTTACATAGATTCTCCACAGATTGCGTATTTTTTGTACTCCAATAATACTATTCGCAGGAATAATTTCCGTTAAGGCGATGCAAAGATCTTCGTTTTTCAGATACGATTTATTATTTTCCATTGGGATTTGATCGGCTTTCATAAATACCGGCTTTACTACAGTGTTTGTTTTATTTACATTTTCTACTTGATTAGTTTCTTTGTTTGTTTGGTTACCCGTGGCAACAGGTACCGAAACGGCGGGAGTTTCAGGATCGTAGATTGACATACCGACAGTGGATTTTGCCGATTAGCTTAGGCAAAACAGTGATCACTAAAAATAATTCTGGTGCTCTATTTTTGTTCTTTGGCACTTAATGAAGCAATATTACTTACTCGATTTTAATTTTTCTCCGTATATTACGTCCTAAAATGAGATCTTTACTCCGGGTATCTATAGCTGCACTGTTACCGTAGTGTTCAGATCACAGCGCCCTCTTTGACCTACTTGATTTGGATAAAATGTATGCCCTCTAGACACTAAATTTCATCCTAGAAAAAATGCATCATAGTTTCTTAATCAGTCATTATAAATTTTACACCAAAGAGAAGAAAATAATGTAAAACATTAACGGTTCCTGAGTAGCGTCAAAGAGAGAGTAGGTTGAGTCTAAACATACAGGTGGAATTTAGCCCTTTTCCCTATTCAAAACCTAATTAACTTGTGGTCTGTCAAAATATGTTCAGATTGAAAACTGACCAACCGTACCGGTGGCTACGGCCCTGACAAAATAACATCCAAAACAAGTCTATGTTTTATTAGACCTGTATTGAAAAAAAATGTAAACTTTTCACAAAATTCGGCCAAATAATAGTTTGGCCGTGACTTTTCAAACGTTACGGCCAGACGAATTTTTATACGGCCAGATTTGAGGACTCTGGCCGTCAAGAAGGCCAAATGGCAACCCTGGCCTATACAGGCAGTGGCGAATCCAGGAATTCGAAATAGAGGGGGGGGGGGGTCCAGCGAGGAACTTTCAAAGATGGAGGGTCCACCCAACTCATCCCCTACCATGGTGGGGGTAAGATAAGAAAAATTATGATTAAGCACCTCTAGAGTCGGAAATGGCACTCTCAGACTTAAATTTTAATTATTTTCTTCTTCTTTTTCCATTTAAAAAAATAATTTTTAACAATTAGTGTGGGGGGGGGGGTTAGTCTCCTTCCCCCTTGAATCCGGCACTATACAAGGAAATATCGCACGACCATGACCATGATATAATATATAATAGTGTATTGACCAACCGTCAAACGTCAAACGCACTCTGAACGTTCTTAGGACTGTTTGAGAGGATAACGTGAAAATTGCAATAGACACATTATAAATAAGCGAAAGAATAATTATATAATAAATCAACAGTTGCAGATCCAGGAATTCGAAAGAGAGGTGAACCAGGGAGGGACTTTCACAGACCGAGGAACCACCCACCTCAGCCCCACCATGGTTGGGGCTGAGGTAAGGAAATTTATGATTAGGGCATCTCTAGATGGCCGGAAATTACACTCTCGCACTTCAATTTGAATATTTTTTCCTTAAAAAAATGAAGGGGGTGGGGCGTGCCTTGGATCCACCTCTGCTCAAAACATTCTTTATCCAGAATAGTCATAATCACGAAAAATGGACATGAAAAACCAGATCACATCCTAAAAACAAACAGCAGTCACTAAGACATACATCATAGTCAAGTCCGAAATGTAGCAATATCAGAGGTTGCATTTTTTTTTGCTATATTTGTTAAAAATTGGATATGATGTAGAGTAGACATTGATAAATCAAAAAAGTATGTGCAACATTTTTTTTTTCATACGTAAATGTGTATAAGAGACAGATATACAGACTGTTTGAGAAATGTTCAATACAATTTATTAGACAGTCAATTACTAAAGTTCTGCAGCGCAAAGCGTCACTTCTTGCTTGACATAAAGCAGGATCCTTTCTCCCCATAACAATTTTTCTTTTCATTTGTAAAGGTTAAAAATTATTCCTTAAAATTTTAAAAACATGCCGGCTTAGTTTGCCCGTCATTCTCATGGTAAGCTGTGACAGTGGTTCTGCAAATCTACAAGTCACGCCACTAGTTCAATGT